AAAGAAAGGAGGCCTTGAATATCCAATTATGGCAGTCTCGGTCATAACATTGAAGGCTGTTGATAGGGGAGGGGCATGACGAAAGGATCACTCTGGCAGCATCAAAGGAGGAACCAGAGGCAGAGAAGTTAGTCAGGAAGGCAACTACTGCAATATCTGGAATGCAGATCAGGGAAGCAGCAGCGAGACCGTGAAGGCTGGAAACCGGCTGGGACCTTGTCCTAGGAGGACGGATCCCCCACCCTCACCCTCAGAGAACAGTGAGGAAGTTCAGGGTCTGCAGACAAGTTCCTGTGGCCCACTGTGGCCCACCTTGAAGAATCAAGCCCCCTGGGCTGACCTTGGAAGCTCCTCCCTTGGCCTGCCAGGAGCCTCAGCCGTCACGGAAAAGAGACTCTGAAAACAACAGGTGTCTGCCTGGCGTCACACCCAGCCAAAGCTGTAGGGGGACAATCTCTCTGTGGCTGTCACAGCCAGTGCCTTTGTGAAATGTCCAATTCAAGAAGCACCAGCTTTTAAAAGATGGAAGGTTTACTCCTAGGTATTTACCCCAAAGAACTGAAACAAGTGTTCAAACAAAAACTTATACACAAATCTTCTTAGCAGCAAAATTCACAATAACCAAAAGATGGAAACAATCCAAATATCCATCAACTGACAAGTGGATAAACAAACTGTGGCATATCTATACAATGGAATATTATTCAGCCACAAAAAGGAAAGAAGATACATGTTACATCATAGGTGAACCTTGGAAACATTATGCTAAGTGAAAGAAGCCAGACACAAAAGGACAAATATAGTATGATTCCATTTATATGAAATGCCCAGAATGGGCAAATCCATAGAGACAGAAAGAAGATTAGTGGTTGCCAGGAATTCAGGGAAGCGGGTAATGGGGAGTGACTGCTTAATGGGTACAGGCTTTCCTTTTGGGGTGATGAAAATGTTCTGGAACTAGGCAGAGGTGGTGGTTGCACAACATTGTAAATGTACTAAATGTCACTGAATTGTACACTTTAAAATGTTAAAATGGGGCCGGCCCCATGGCTTAGCGGCTAAGTGCGCGCGCTCCACTACTGGCGGCCCAGGTTCGGATCCCAGGCGCGCACCGACGCACCGCTTCTCCGGCCATGCTGAGACCGTGTCCCACATACAGCAACTAGAAGGATGTGCAACTATGACATACAACTATCTACTGGTGCTTCGGGGAAAAAAATAAAGATTAAAAAAAAAATGTTAAAATGGTGAATTTTATGTTATGTGAATTTTACTGCAATTAAAAAAAAGACAGGAGGTGGCTCATCCAATCCCCATCTATGGGTGACCACTAAGGCTGGTAGCCCTTCCTGAAGGCTTTCCTAGTTACCTTTCCCTCACCACTTAGCATCAAGCAGGCAGGCACTCAAAGAGCTGGGGAAGGATGAAGAGCTTTATTCTCTGTATTTGTCTCCATGAAGCATGAATCCCCTGCCGCAGTCACCCTGTGCCTGGCACCAAGAATATATACACACACTTACTCATTCCCACCTCTGAGCCTTTGCTGTATGTCCCTTCCTCGACTCTCCTCCCCACACCCTACGATTCCCACTGCACCCCTTGCTATCTATCCAATTTCTGCAGTTCCCTCCATGTCCAGCTCAAATCCTTCACTGACCCCCCATTTCTGACCTCTGCCCATACACATCTAGGATTTCAATGGTCCAACCAAGCACTAGTTCTCATTCCCTCCCCTAGCCTTGCGTTTCTGAGTAGATCTTCAGCCTCTGAATATACAGGAATGTCGGGAGCCCTTACCTCTGAGCCAGGCACAGAGCGGCTCCTCGTAACTGTCTGTTGGTCCTAAGCCCAGAGCTATTCCTTGGACCTCTCCCCTGGACACTCCCAGACCAACCTTGTTCAGATCCCAGTGGGAATCACCAGCAGTGGAGGGAGGTCAGTGTGTCTTCAGGAAGAAGACCAAAGTCTACCACCTGACAGGTGATGGCCGAGCCTCATTTCATGTCAGCCTGACAACCAGACCAATCTTAGATCTCCGATGAGTCCCAGGGTCCCTATTACACCAGCCTCCTTCCAGTTGTTTTAATTAAAATGGTGAGAAATCAATAGAGATTACAATTATAGAGGAGAGAAAAAAAACAAGAGGTCTCCGCCCCCAGCAAATTTCTAGATGGACACTGATAAGAATTAGAGCTGAATTCTGGGTGAGTACAGAAGCAATCCCAGCAGAACTCTGGGTGGACAGTCTTAGAATCACAGTCAGTATCAAGGTCAACACCAATACAATTGGAATGGAATTCTGGATGACCACTGATATATCAGAGAAGACTCCTAGGTCAATGCTGATACAGTTAGAAGGGAATTTGGAGTGAACAACACAACAATCACAGAATAAAGCTGATGGCATTTTAGGATGAGAAGTCAGGCTGAGAAGGCGGATCAGCAGACCCTGGATGAAGGATGGAGGGCACCCATAGGTGGCCTTCATGGGCACACTCTAATCCTGCATCTCAGGCTTGAAAGGGGCAGAATTAAAATTCTCATGGCCACCTGCAGTAGGTGTGTGGGTAGGGTCAGGGAGGATAAATTCTGGTAAATCAAGCCTGAAGGGAGATGGGCAGGGGAGGGAGACCTCTGGGGGGAGAACTTCACCCTTTACTCCCACGGAAGAAGAACTGATTCTTGCAAACCAGAGAGGCAGCATCAGGGGGGTTTCCCAGGTTAGACAGGTGGGGAGTCAGGCAGAGGAGGGGGATGGGGTGGGGGCAGGGAGGAGGGAGGGCCTCAGACCCTCTCCAGCCCACTCTCTCCCTTGCCAAAGACCCCAGCCACAGAGACCTCACAACCCCTCAATCCCAAACTTTAAGTAAAAAGAAGTGCAATTACGGAGGGCTTCTTTGGGCTTCCCTAGGGTCAAGAACGGAGCAGGGCCTTCTCGGGGAAGTTTGTGAGCATTAACACACCAAGTCAACTCCCTGGCCCCCAGCTAACCCCTGCCCTTGAAGAACTTAGCCTGGCTTGGCCATCTTCTCTTGACCAACCCACTGAGTAATTGGGCACATCACTATCCCTTTCTCTCATTCTTCTCACTTGTAAGGGAGGACACTGAACTGGATGATGTCCGCGGGTTCTTCCATCATTAGGAATCTGTTTCCAATGCTCAGAAACAGTCTTTATATATGCTAACACTTACAGCTTATTTCTGACTATAAAAAATAATACTTTCTTATTGTAGAAATTTTAGAAAAGAGCAAAACATAAAAAAAGAAAAGAAAAAATCTTATGTGATCCCACTACCCAGAGGAAACCATTATTAACTTTTTGGACACTTTCTTCCAGGGTTGTTTGATTTTTGGTTTTTTTGCATTCATATCATTTCTTTTTAATAAAATTGGGATCTTACAGTCTATACCACTTTGTATCCTGTTTTTTTCAACTGTCATTATGCTGCTGTAAGCATTTTTCCAAGTCATCAAATATTCTTCAAAAATACCATTTTAATGACTGTATAATACTCCACCCAGAGGATATACCATGATCACTGGGCATTTCCATTGTTTCTCTAGTATAAATAATACTGCTATGAACATCCTAGCCTAGCACATAAGTATTTGCCTGCATCTTCATCTCCTTAGGATCAATTCCTTTAGATGGAATCACTAGGCCAATGAATACAATTTTTTTTTTTAAAGTGCTGCCATATTAATTTCCAGAAAGACACAACAAACCCATGGATTTTCCCGAGCTGAGCAAGAGCTGAAGTTCTGAAAGGGTTGGAGTTAGAATGCAGGACAGTCGTCCCGTCTCTCCTCTTCTCCCCTAGTCTTGAAGGTTAACTGTCCAGCAAAAGAGAGGACAGAATTCCAAGTCAGAAGATACAGGTCTGCAGACTAGCTCTGCCGCTCCCTGGCTTTGGGAACCTGAAATCAGCATCAGTTCTCCTCAACTGTAAAATGGGTGTGACCAGCTCTGCTGACCTCCCAGAGCAGCTTCCTTGCTCACACGAAAAGGTGTTTGTGAAAGTTCTTTGTAAACTTCAGTGCTTTGTCAAAGGGCATAACTATTATCCTTACAACCCCAGGGGGCTGAATAAGAGGGTTGTTCTTGGTGAAAGCCTGAGGGCTCCCCTTCCTGGCTCTTAGCCATCAGAATGCCCAGAACAAGTGCTGGCTAGTTCTGAGGGTGACAGAAAAGCAGCTTCCTGAAGAGGATCAGCAGGGTCTGAGGGCCTGGGAGGACCCAGCTGTGTCTTCCAAAGGTCAGAGACAGCACTGGAAGCTGCAGGACACAGAACTGGGCCTAGGGCCTCCCTGAGGGTGCTGGGTGGGTCCGCAGACTCAGAGGGCAAAGATCTTCCTGGTAACGTCCCTCTGTGTCAAGGCTCCCAGCCCCTCCTTTCTAGGGTTGGGAATGGACATCTGGCATTTGGGGAAACCAGAACCCAAGCTGATTCAGTGAATGCAAAAAGTCAACAGCTGCAGAGGACTCCAGAAGCCACTGGCTCTGGCCCCTTCTTCCAGGTTGCTATAAGTCAGTCCTGGATTATTAAGACCTTCCAATTGGAAATGCAACTAGTGCTTCCAGCATGACCTCTCCAACCCTGGGCAGGTGAAAAAGGAGATCGTGGTGCCTCCCTTGAGAAGCACAGCTGGCCGACCTGAGCATTCCGCCAACCTCCCCTATACACCTAGCAAATTCCCTTCCTCACCCCTGCACGCTCTCCTAGCATCGTGACCCGAGAGGACTCCAGTGACGTTCCCCGTGTTGGCAGGAAGAACTGCGCAGACCCCACGGTACGCCATTCTCTCCGGTTTTCACCATCACCACTCGCAGCCCCCCACCCCCAGCCCACCTCCATGGCGAGATGTGCGTCTTCTGTCTCCAAATAGGCACAACAGGTGGCACCTGCCCGTCCTCCCCAAACACACCTCTCCACCTCTCCCTGCCCCTCCACTTGCGCCCCGGTCCTCCAGCTGAGCCTGGCCACGGGAGAGCCTTACCTTTGAGGTTTTGGGGGTGGGCCCGCGGCGCCCGGCTCGGGTTTCCTCGGGGCAGAGAGGGGATACTGGAGAAGTTGTTACCCATGGCATCCGGCCCCAGGGGCTTCAGCACTGGCGGGGGGCAGGCGAGCCCGGGCAGGAGCCGAGGTACTGTGTGCAAGTGTGTGCGCGCGCGGTGGCGCGCCGCCGGGGGAGGGCCCTGGCGGGGCTGCGGCCGGGGGCGGGTGGGCCGCGCCTCCTCTCCCTCTCTCTGGGCTCCGCGGTCCTCGGCGGGTCCTGCCCGCCGGGGGAGGTCCTCGCGCGAGCCGGCTACCTGCCTGCCATTCCCCGAGGCGGGGGCGGGGGCCGCGGGCGGGCCCTTGGGCAGGGGCTGGCGGCGCCCGGGGATCCCCTCTTCCTCCGGCTGGCGCTCGGGTTCCGGCTGGTGGTGGGCGGCACGGCGGCTCCGGGGCGCTCCCCGGGGGCCATAGAGTCAGGGCTCCCGGCGCGGGCGCTCAGCGGCTCGGCC